AATTCAATTCTTGATAGGTATAGCAGCATAAACCAACGCGACATTGTGTGAAATTTTGCGCGTTCGTCGTTCAAAACGGTGCCAGTTTTCCGCGCATCCGTACGCGCCAAACGTCCGTGACGTACCGTTATATCGTCTATCAAAACGAAACACCACTGAGACGAAAATCTGGAGAAAATGTAACCCGCTAAACTCGTGCTCGCTAATATTATATATCTGTCCACGCTAGACGGCATATCCAGCTCTCTGCACGTCTATATAACCATTCGTTTCTTCAGAAAAGCAACAGACAAGCCAGCAGCAACGCCGTTACACACCACCCACCGCGAATTTTATCGTCTGCACGACCGCGGCAATAAACCGCTATATTTAGTGCGGCCCACGAAATCTCAACGTCGAAGTAATGAAAAGCTCGGAGCACACGTTCGTGCAATATCCTTGAACCATGCTACACCCTCGGGGAAAACGTTTAATTGGGTCAAGGGGTCGTGACCTCTTAACGGCTAGCATGTGTTCCTATCGGCTAAGATGAATTGAAAAATGGGTGGAAAAAAAATAGGAGAGAGAAGAAAGGAACTGCTTGCTTGGCAAATGAAGCGAGTGGTTAGCGACCGAGTCTGTTGGAGATTGTCAAGGTCGGATTATTATTATTTTTTTTTCCTCCTATTCGGCTAAAAAATTCTCTGCTTCGTTCTTCTGGCCCTTCCTTCATTTATTTCCTTTTTTCTTCGATGATTTTCTTCTCGAGTTACAAGTTTTTGATTTATTAATTCTGATAATTAATAACTAACTCAACTTGACTGGCATTGGTATTTTCGTCCTTTGTTTACTTTGTATATTTACTTATTTATCCTTCGAGATGAGATTTCTTGTTAATTAAAAAATTGTACAAGATTTTCTCCCTTAATTGCCATTTCCCGGGAAGGTCTCGTTATTGTGCCAAAGACAAGGTATTGCCATCAAGGCCGAGGAAGTTAGAAACAGTGAAATTTCTATTCAGCTACGATATTAAAACCATCCCCCGCCGCTTTGTGCAACGGTTGAATTACGAAATTACTTAAAGGATCTCCGGGTAACTTCTACCGAAGACTCTTTTAATTAATAGTTCGCCAGCTACGCGTTGAATACCCAGCAGTCACCCAAGTGGTTATCAAAGTAATCCCTGTTCAATGTACGGAGAGTTAAACGAGATTTTTCTTCGACTTATCCGCTTCTCATTATGCAAAAAATAAACCGATAAAGTCGAGCGAACCGATTATCGAGGAATAAATCTCGTCGTAAAGGTGCATCCTCGATTACCCTTTTATTACTTTACAATTCCAGACACGCAATATAATCTTAATATATGCGTTAACAATCTACGTTTAACCTCTAACCAACCGATTGTCACAAAGATATTTTAAAGTGGACAAAATATCCACCTCTGTATTAAAAAAACAAATTCGATCGTCGATATTATAAATTCGTAGCCTTGTAATTCGATTGCCATTCAATTCGAATCTCGATTCGCTTCAATGCTTTTCCTCGTGCAAGAATAATATTGTTTCTTATTCCTATATATATAAAAAAAAAAAACCGATCCAATCCGAATCATTGTCATTTTACCGTGTCATAAAAAAGAGTCACGAATGTATCGACTACGGTCGATTCTCGATTCGCATAATTTGAAAAGATCGAAACTACATTTTCCTCGCCGCTTTACTCGTTAAACGACCCACTGACCTAACTCCCTTTCGAATCATGTACCACCGCCGGAATGAACGGAAGCGCCTATAAAAAGCCAAGTCTGAGCAGTAAGTCTGGGTAAGAACCATCGACAGGGTTAGTGCTCTTAAAAATGCATACGATCCAGCTCGTGTGTTTTTTATGCACCTCCTCTTCCTCCTCCTCCTCCCTTGGTATCCCTCCACCGGCTACCCTTTTCGGCTTAGCGTGCAGCTGTGCGCACTTGATTTTTCGTACGAGTAGTAGTATCAGGGTTTCTCAACGCCTTTCGGCATATTATCATTCGAAAGGAACAAAGTTACAAACGCGTAAGTTACGATTGTCGATTCGACGTAACGATAGAATCGATCGTACGTAAAACAGGGAGCGAAGATGATTTGGCGGGGCAATAGTCTGGGATAAATAAAGTTAGCCAAGTGTGGAATATTACGTGCAACTCGTAGCTGCGAATGCAAGTAGAGGCATCAATCTCGGTACAAGCTCCCATAACTAATTATAAGTTTGTTTCACTTTGGTAGTAGATACTAAGCACACCGTACTCTCCATTGTTTGGCAACTTCAACAGGGCGTTGTCCCTTTGTGTGCAACGTGAGACTAGTAGCTGACCCATCTACTATCTTCGATTCTACGATACGACGGTATTAATGTTCGAGAACTGTTGCCAACTAATGACGAGACCGACCGAAGGAAAATTCCCTTCCTCTAGGTGTACCTAGCTTGTTTATATTAAAGCTGACTATTGTTGTGTAATTCTAACTAACTCCGCAAGTTGTAACGTTTATCGTAAAGCTGATGGATAAGAAAAAGAGGAATGAAACTCGAAACTCGTAGTAATAGTCGTATTTCGTAGTTGAGAATTTGTTTTTGCTCTAGTGACCCTCTTTTCGAAGGAAAAAAACGGGAGGAGGGGAAGGGGAGGTTGTCGAATTAAACGATATCCAACAACACTCGACAGAGAAGGAAATGATTAATTATCGAAAGTATATCGAGTAGAAAGCGAGCAAGAAAATCGATGAAAGGGGATATCGAGTAGGAGCGAATTAATCATCGTGACAAACGATGCATGACACGCTGACAGCAATAGTTAAATCATACTTCACGGCGACCATGACTGTTTATAATCGTGCAACACGTATTATGCTCCGGAAAGGGAAAAGGTGGGCTCACCGGTGGCATAAATTGGTTTGCGATTCCATATTTGACCGATCGTTTAGTCCGTCATCCTTTCGAACGAATTATCTCCTTTCTCTTTCTTCCTTTTCTTTTTTCTTCCTCGAATCGATTCCTTCGGTGAAAATCTTTGGCCTCCGGAGAACGCATCGTAACCGAAAGCTGAGGGACAGAAGAAAAAGAAGATCGCTTTAGCATTGCTTTTGGATGCATCGAGTGTCGTTACGATGTCTTAAGTGGAAAAAAGAAAAAGATAGCGAGAGAGAGAGAGAGAGAGGTTCTACAATTTATTACATTTTCCCGTTAAATAACTTCGCTCACAGGTCGGAAGGAATTTGATCGATGGAAATGTTGGCTTGGAGCCCAACGATAATGCAATCTCCTTTATCATTATAGCAGCTGGCTTATGTAATTATACTCGAAAATGCAACGTGAACAGTGTGTAATGATTTTTGAAACACATTTTTATATTCTTGTTGAATATGTATGAAGCGCGAAAGATTGGGAATATAAATCGAGGGTAAAAGAAAACGAAACGAAATGGAAAAAGAAAAACATGCGCTACGAATGTGTTCGCCAAACGAAACAAAACGAAACGAAACGAAACGAAACGAACCTCGTGCCTACGAATTTTTTAAAGCGACATTGTTTCGCGTACATCAAGTTTTCTTCCGATATCGGCGAAAATCGATACGATCAACAATGGTCCCGCGTCCTTCCATCCATTTGGACGGAAGAAGAAATCACGATTCACCGGGGACAGATTTAACTCTGGCAAACAGAAAGCCAGTGGACGGACGATATTTTCTCGTCATAAATCAGGGGAAGAGGGGGAGGATGGGAGGGGGTCCGATTACGTCAGTCCAGGTGCTTCCTCGAACAAAAGGTGGAGAGAAGAAAGAAAGGACGTGGAAAGTGGCAAGAAATTCCGAAGCGCGTCCTGACGCGAACGGATTTCGCAAGTAAGAAAACAGGGGAAAGAAGGGGGAGGAGGAAAAGAGAGGGAAAGATAGGTGGAAGACATTAATTTCTAAGCTTTATGCGGTTCTTATTAGAATCTCCGTGGAGACGGTGCGGCCAGCTGCCCCCAGAAATATGACTCTATTTTTCGTCTGGCGTCGACTTATTTGCGCGACTGGTGAAAATCGTCAGGGATGGGGAGAACGACTAACAGTTTATAAGTTACACGAAAGTGAACAGTTGAGATTTGATCGTAAGGTTACTCACCACCCCCCTTCCCTTTTTTTCTCCCTTTTTCCTTCCTTTTTCCTTCCCTCCTTCCTATCCTTTGACAATCTCGATATCATCTCGCCTCCTCTCGCCTCTTATTTCTCTCTTCTCCTCCTCCTTTATATTTGACGGGGGCGTTATTTTCAAGCGGGTTTCACGAGCGGCGGGCGATATATCGGCTATACCGATAGAGTTTTTAAAATTCTCTCCGCTGCGTGGTTCCTGTAAAAACGCCAGGATAAAATGCCACGACTTAATTAAATGCATTAAAGTAGTTTTTTGTCGTTCCCGCCCGTTTCTTATATTATCACCATATTCATGAAAGTAATGGTAATTACATACGGGACCTAAAACCGTAAAAAGCGTAATTTTTCACAGGGAGGGGGGAGGGAAAAATGTTTCCCTGATAAAGAGTGCGTAATTCTCCCCTCGTACCCATTACTGTTTGGCGCATGGAGCATGTGCACGCACGTGCACATTTCGCTTCGTGCCTTTATCACGATTTCCTTTTGTCTTTCTTCTTTTGTTTTTACTTTTTTGTTATCATCGCGTCTGAAAATAAAAAAAATATTTAATATCGAAACTGAGCATATCGCGCAGAGATCAATCGTTTTTTTTCCGCTCTTCTCTTTATTTTTTTTTTCCTTTTTACCTCTTCTTCTTCCCGCTTGTCCCCTTTTCCCCCACTCATTCCCCCCATCGCCTTCCCCATTGCATTACAACGGAGCGGGGACGACGTATCTATCCACGCTTTTGCGCTTATCTCTCCCCCTTATCTCGTTCTTCTCGCGTTTCATCCATACGTCGAAGACGTCCCGATATTGGTAGTCAGTCAACCGAACGGGTCATATGAAATTCTGCGCCATCGTTTTCCACCCGGTAATAGAGTATTTTCTATACAAGGCAGGGAATTTAATTCAACGATCCTTTGAATGCCGCGCGCTTTTCCCTTTCGTTCACTCTCTCTCTCTTTTTTTCCTTCTCCCTCTTCCTTTTCTGAGCATCGCGGATGAAAAGTTGGAGGGATTCATAAATTCGGTTGCAAGCATCGCGCTTATGCGAACAAAGGGATCCCGGGGAAATCAGCATGCATCCGGGACCGTGCATAACTGGAAAAGAAAAAGTTGACGCGAATTGGGCGCGGAAGGGAAGAGGGGGAGGAACGGTACATAATTACGTAGGGCGAATAATGACGGAAATCTGGCGTGGTAACTAACGCGAACGCTTAATTATACGCGTTAACTTGAGCAACAATTTTCCCTGGTAAAATACACATCAGAATCGTAACTATTTTTCCTGTGATGAAATTGTAAAATAAAAAAGAGAGAGAGAGAGAGGGAGAAGGAGAAAGGGTGGGAGAGAAAAGAAAAATAGAAACGTACGAGGTAAAACGTTAGATTTTTACGTTAACCACTATTCGTATCGCCCTATTTCGATAATAATCCACGGAAAGGATGAAATTAAACAAACTCCATCGAATTCTCTAAAATTGCGGTGCATCTTATTTTCCCCTTTTTTTAATGATGAACTCGAACCTCGGCACGGATATCGCACGGATGATACACGGAAAATCTACTCGATTTCGATGTTGCTAAAAGCCTTGGCGACCAGATAACAGGGCATAAAAATACGCTCGCCGGTTGCAGTAATAAAATGAGCACAAAAGATTATTTACGCTCGCTGCACTTACATCCAATAAAGAACAAGTATTGGACGACACCAGCATGCGCGTCGATCCAATATGTTCCCTTGTGTTGGATACCGATGTGCACCGGCCACGAATACAAATAGCAACGAGAGAGACGGCGAGTTGGAGCCCTGCCCTTTTAACCAGACTTCCAGAAAAATTGATATTCTTGTTTGCGTCCTCGTGCATCCGTCTTAAAGCGTAATAAAGCTTATCCGACCGACGCGTGTGTGTACCACACGAGATTTGCAAGCGTTACGGATTTATCAGAGCTGGAATTTAAAAGATCAATCGTATAATTGTTGATCGATTGTTTCGGGAGCGTAATCAGAGAGAGAGAGAGAAATATCGATTACAATTTATCTCGATTAATTTCAGTTATCGTGGCCGAAAGGAATTATAAGAAAATTACACGATCGTTGTACGACATCGAGAGATTTTCGTAGAATTTTTCTCGTCCGTGATATAAAATAGCGCAGGGATTTTTATTCTTTTATTAAAGATATTACTACAACGAGACGTATCAAGATAATCTAGAGAGAAGAAATTTAAGAATTTGGGGAATAAATAGTAAAATAAATAAATGTTGTTTGCGCTAAGAAATACTAACATCTTCTTCGTTATTCTCTGTAAACGATGAAACGAAGAAATTAAATGACAAAGAAGATACATGGTGTATTTGTACGAGTAACAAGGACACGAGGAAGCGAGCAAACGTTAACAAGAAAGAGCTACGGAAATAAAAGTACATACGATAAAGGATAGATTCATTCCGGTAGTAACCGTGAACACGTGATTCTTACAAAGATGGAACAAAGGAAACAAAAGAGGCGAAATTGAGAGATAGAAAGATCTTTTGTAACCGTTAAAGAATGGAAGAAAAAGGGTATCCGAATCTAAGAGCGCTTTTAAATCAGCGTAACCCAACGTATTGCTTGCGGCGTTCACCTGTGGTAATGGCTGCATAAACTCTAGACTCCGGTTCACGTCCGTTCTTTTTCCATTCCGTCGAGAATTATTCGGTTCTACTTCTTTCTTTTTACCTTTTCCTTTAACCGCCCCGTGTTACTCTTACACTTTACTTTATTTGTATCCGTACGCGATTACTTATTCCCTTTAATATCCGATTTTTCCCCTTTAATTCAATATTATACAACAATTATTAATATAATTTTCAAAAAATAAAAATCACCGATCAAATTCCAATATTCTAAAACGCGTATACTGAAAAAAAAAAAATCTAAAAATATCAAATTTCACAAAAATATAATTTATAACGAAGTCGTATTAATATCAAATTTTTCATACCATATACAATCGACCATTTCGAAAGAATCATTAACCAATAATTCTTTCGATGTGTTACCGATTCCCATCGTAAATGGGGTCCAATTTACCGAGAGATTAATTTAACGAATCCAAAAAAACATATATATATATATATCTAAAACTGTTGGCAATTAATAAGTTCGAGGATCGAGAATGCAAGAGACCTCGTTCCGTTTTGCGTTATACCTACGGTATAATGGCGAGGTGGTCTGAACTGGCCGGTGTCGGAAAGATCCTGCTTGCACGAATTAACCATTATAAGTACGAGGAGAGCGGACCAGGATATCGGATCATTTGTAAAGCAATAACGCCGTATAAATCTCCATCCTTTCATTACTATAAATTCCCGGCCGTTGCGGATTTTTGTTAGTCGCCACCCGACCGGTCCAACGGCCGGCAATAAATGTTATATAGGTATATAAAATTCAGGCTGCATCCGCGCGGCTGTGTTGTATATAATCACAATTAGCGTCCTATTAGGCGCCGAATGTGCCTCCTTATTTATACCGTGCATTAACATACCTACCTCTATGTAAACTTATATCATTTCCATCATCCCCCTTGCAAACACGGGGTACATCACGCGGCCATCCTTCCACTCGCTCGACCCGAAACGATCCACCACGTGGAAAGACGTAACAACGGGTTCTCCGCTCTTGCCCACCGATTTACGATTATCCGCATTTACACCTGGCCAAACGTTAAATAACGAATACGTATACGCGTGACTCTTTTTATAAATGGAATTACTCTTGTAAACACTTTGTTCCACGAACAGAAAGCGGTCGTTTCGCGGAACGTACGATCTCTTGCAACAAAGATTTTTCGGATAACGATATCTGTTGTGATGGTTCTCAACATAGTCGATTAAATAGAAAAATAATTTGATTTTCTTTTTTTTTTTTAAATTATACGTATTTATATCGTAGATAGGCATTGGATGAAGGTAAAATTGATGCGGGAATTTTTATTTTTCTTGCGTTTGATTGGGATATTGGGACGGTTAAGTTATACTATTGCGATGCTTCTGTGCCATCTGTGAAAAGAAATTGGACGGATATTTCGTTAGATAGTCGTAGTTGCCTAAAAGAAATCGAAAAAGAATGAAAACCATCTCTTCGAATGCGGCTCTCGTCGTGTGTGATAGTTGCCCAAGAAACTCAAGAACCATTCCATGGACCCTGGCGATGGTGAGGCCTCGAGGTCAGGGCCTTGCCCATGGTGTATCGTGAGGACCCCAGCAGGGTGTCCATGCTTTCCTCTGTATTAATAACATGGCCCGGCCACTGCCAGCTATACATTAAGGAAAATAATCATCATAATCGTGCGTAATACGTCCGGTGAATCGCAATTTTCTGTACCTTCATCCGGCTAGAGACAAATAACACCCCATCCCGTATATAAGCATCGAATTTATTGAAAGATTCTCTCTCTCTCTGCACAATATATTCTTATACAAATCTTTTACCAAATCTTCTAAACGTAATAGTTCGATTCAACGATCACATCTACAGATGAAAAGATATTCGACAACGCGCGAAAGAAAATTTAAATTTTTCTAAAACTTAACGATTTCATCAACCAACGCATCTCCGACTAGTCAAATCGAAATTACGTACTTGGAAAGTAATGGCATGGAAGCAGCGCGATCGTAAAAGGAGGTCGATCGTGTTACCGGCGGCTGGTAAACTAGCGAATAAAGGGGTGAGCCTTAATAAACAGCGAAAAATTATATTTGCTTTTTAATCTAGCCGCGTATCGTAAAGCTCGCGCGCTCACGTAGTTCGTTAAGGGGCACGTATTGCTAACAGGGTGTATATGCAAATCATGTACGGAATTAATTTTTCGCATGCTGCGCATACACGGTCGCGTACACGCACACGCGCGCGGGGGCGCACCGCGAATCCATCGGGTGGATAGACGCGGATATTGCGAAATGCTAGGGCAAACCGATGGCCGCGACTATGCGTACAATTGATTACAGACGTGATCGTCATACCGCGCTAAATCCGCGACATTCTCCTCAATCTTGGCTGCGGATTCGACCACGTTCCCCGATTCTAACCCGGAACGATCGATATTAAACTATCCCTGATAAAATTTCTCACCGTGAGATTTTGTGATCGTGATTGACAGGGTCGTGCGAAACGCATTACTGTCCTCTCGAATTTAATAGAAATTAATACGAGCACCGTTCGAGAAAGAACGTTCATTTCTTGTATCTAATGTCATTTTAGCGGTTAAAAATGGGTATTTTAACACACCAGGAGGAAAATTTGACACGTTTCAAAGATTAAAATTACTCTTCTGTTCTCTTAATTAGAAAATGAAATTTATCAAGTTCTTCGATGCTGCTATAAGACCGCGTACGATGCGATATAGCGCGAACTATAAATTATACGCCGTATATAACGAATTATAGGAAATAAGAATAACGAATAATGAAATTCTTGTTAAGCAAGTGATATAAAAAGACGCGTTAAAAAATTAATTCTGTCGATGATTAGATTATTCGTTTAACTATCTATTTTAAATTATTCTGTACATACATATGAAGATCCTATTGTCCATCGTCTGTCACTCTTAATTGTGAAACGGTCGAACGATATAAACACTACTTATCGATAATGACTATAAACACTACGTATCGTTAATGACTCACCAAACGGTTTCGACGTAGATACACGCGGTGCTCCTTTGCCGGCGTCTTGCGGGACACGTTTTCAATAATTCATTTTCCGGATAAGGTATATCGGTAATAAAGTGACTTATATCGGTGTAAGCCCACGACAGCACGCGTGACATTCGTTCACGTGGAATCACGGCCGGTTTCTCTCTCTTCTCTCTCCTTTCGTACGCCATTTCTTCCTCTCCTCTTCCTTCCTCTTTGTCGTCGTTCTAGTTGTCGTCTCCTTTCGGCGCCCATACGCGATTCGAGTTACCCGTCACGGTGCTTTGTTATGTATTTATGTGCATATTCGCCTATTTGTCGAGAAATTCCATCGTCGTGTCGGCTCTAGGCTGTTCACGACTCGTTCGTTCCATGCACGACGATCCGTTGAACGTCGACTCCGAGGACGATGTGTTTACCCGGCGTACACGCGCGTCCTTATACTCTCGTACACGCGAACCTTGTGTTGTGGATTCGCCAGACGCCGCGCTCCTCGAGGACTTTGTTGTCTTCTCCTCTGTGTCCGTTGTGTTCACGTGACCCCAACGTATGGAAAAACCGTCCTCTCCCATAACCGCCACGATTTTTCACGAATTCCCCGCCATTTCTTCCCCGAGGACGCCCGATCCCGCTCGAACGAGTATTTCTAAATCTATTCGTATGCATCTATGAAAACCGCAACGCGAGATACGTGTTCGAAATCCTTTTTCGAAACCGAGGATTCCAAACGCGGCTTTCTTGAAACGTCGTCGAACGTCCATTGCCATGAGACGAAACAAGCAATACTAGATTACAGATCACGCGAAGTATTTACTAAACAATCGTACGAATCGTACCGCGAAACGAATACGTTTCAAACTTGATGGAGGGGGAAAGGTACGCGAACGCACGTTTAATCGCATTCGATTTTTCGTTGCTCGATTAACTGCGTTATCTGATATCAACGAGGGGAATTTGTGGCATGAAAGTTTCGTCCGTGATCTGGAAATCTAGAAATCTTCTTTTCTTTTCTCGGTCGATCGATATCGATATTCAAAAAAAAATGTTGAGCGCGATAAAAGGAATAGGAAAAATAAAATTTTAAGGTGTATTATTGACGAATCTTGCATAAAGTGTTTTTTTATTCCACGAAATAAGTAAAAAGTGCGTAGAGAGAATCTTTGAGAGGACGTCGTTTGTCGAATCGAGATGAAAAAGATAAATTTCCATAACGTTGGCGGGGAACAATTTTGTTTAAATAAACAAGAAACGCGGTCGTGTGAACGTATTATAAGCATGTTGCACAATGATATAACTCGTTGTTGACTGTTCCACGAAAAACGTTGTTCTATGTGCTTTTCATCTGCATTCTTTATTGTCGATAAATTATCCGGTGCAAGTGCTTGTTGCCTCCGCTTGATAAAGTATTCATCGTAAAATCAACTTTGCGGAACTACCGTGCGTACACAAGATCTCGGGGAAATTTTTTATCGATGAAAGTCATTCTCTACGCACTTTTGATTACGAGGAAATTTAAAATGAAATATCGCCACGTAATGTGAAAAAAGATACCTATAATATATATATATATATA